CGTTGCCGGCCAGGGGAGCGTCGTAGTCTATCAACACCCAATCAGAAGTGGCTTCAGTGTAAAGACCAGCGTTGTTGTAGCCTCTCACGACTGCACAGTATTTTTCTCCGGAGATTAGGGCTAATTCACTAAATGTGGCACTTCGATTGAGAGCGTTGTCCCTATAAGCAGTGCTAAGCTGGTTACCTTGCTTTTTAATTGCGCATGTGTATCGCCACATAGTCGTGTGAGGATCATTGAATGGATTCCAATTTGTGTAAAACTTCTTTCTCCAGGTGGCGTATTTGACATTATTATCAGCTCCAGCGAAGACTTTTCCTGCTACAGGTGGTGTGTTGTCAAAAATTATTCCATTGCTCTTAACTTCTCCATAAAGTCCTGCTTTCGTGTAGGCACGGACGACAAATTGGACTTTTGAGCCATCTGTAATATTGCTAATTCTGATGTCCATATGAGTACTCAGGTGCGCGCTAAAGAAAGTGGTTAACTCTGTGTTCGGAGAACTCCCATATGAGGTAAGAAGAACCTTCCAATCGTAGTTGTCAATACCATTTCTGGTTTGAAATCCTCCCCAGTTAACTTGGAAAAGCTTAGAAGATTGATAATCCAAGTCATCCGCTTCCCCATCGTGAACCCATCCATGTGTGGGTTTTGAAGTGTCGACGATTACAGCCGAACTGCATTCACGATGTTGTATTTTGTCCCTCAAGTCAGATGCAGCAATGGAAATTTTGTAGCTTTTACCATCTTGCAAGGTCAACCCTGATAAAGTTTGCAAGTTGTTGGTGCTTTGTATGATACCGTTTGCGAGTGAAGAACCGGAGCAACTGGACGCTCCTGGCAGAAGAAACCATCTCAGATTCATTTTTCCACACGATACATTGAAACCAGAGATAGTAACGAAAAGTTTATCGGTGACATGCTGGTAGAAAATTGTGTTGTGGAAATTCTGGTCAACGATTTTCACAGTGCCAGTCGTAACGGTAACTGAATCAACTACAAAGGCAGGACAAATCCCAAGCCTGCCGTCACACCTATGGAGGTTAAGATTTATAAGTGTAATAAGATATTAATGCTGTAGGTGCTTAAATTAGTGCATAGAGGATTGTGCGTTTAAATAGGCTATTTCTTTTTATTTCGTTTCTTCTCTACGAGCAGATCGAAACTTAAACTCACTTTATCAGACCAAACACTGCTGCAGTGTACTATCTAGATGTTTTAACTTTCAACCGTCATTGGAGCAGAGCGTATATTTCGATTATTGTTCAAGAAATTACTCTAATTCACCGTTGTCTCCAGAAAGTGTTGAAGATTTGTTAATACTCCAACTAATCTTGTGTGACACGAATGTTACGTGTGCCTTCTATATTGCACGTACACAAACTTTTTTGTTTTCATGCAATCGGCAGTCTCAAACTGCTTGGAGGCCAAGGGAGAATTCGTTGTCCACATTTTTGATGAAGTGATGAGACTGAAGTACTCACGTTTCTGTTTGATCACACATGTCATTAGCAGATCGACATACTGTCCCTTTTGTCCTCATGATATCTCTACAACTACCATCTCCAACACATTCAGATGTTCTAATGCAGCTTGAGGATGGGTAAGACGATTGGCAGCTGTAACTCTGACCTTTGCAACTAACGAAATGAAGAGAAAAGGTAAATCTATACGGAACTATCCAGATGAAAGATAGAGACAGAGATGATTTGACACAGCAGACTCTTAGCAACAAGTGATTTCTGTGAAATGAGAACCATGCCATGATGGGAACTAGAAATAAAACGCGGCTGGTGTGAACAAGGCAATATCAACACCTACAAATTCCTGCAACACATGTATTAAGGATCAGGCAATGGCAACCAAGGGACTTAAACAGAATACCAAACGTCTGCTCAACCTTTACTGATGTGAAGAGTTTTAAAATAATTTTGCAAGCATTTTTTTATCGAAGAATATCTCGTGGAGTTTCAATAAGGGACAAAACAGTCGTTGCTTCCTCTCTCAGCGCAACGCATGAGCATGTGGAAAATTCAGTCTCAATGGGTATAATTTTTTATGCAATGCTTGGCAGAGAATACCTATCGTTTGCGAAATAGTTCTCATACTATATTTCCACAAATTGCATAACAAGCTGCTCTACGTTGCACCTTGTTCAGTCTATCTATCTATCCTTTTTTTACAAGTAGGCAAAGAAGAGCAGAGGTCTAATTTCGTTCCCGCCCTGAATCTCGACTTGAGAGTAAATAGCAAGTTTGTCAACAGACTTCCCTTAAGTGGTTAGAATAGCGACGATGGATGGGTGTGGTGTCTTGTACCTTCGCCGTGGTCCCTCCAGACGATTATTTTTTAAAATAATTACCTTCCTGCGTTACACACGTCCCTTTTGGTACACTTGTCTTTGTCGTCACAATAAGCGCCGTTGCGATTAGACCATGTGCTGCTAGCACGGGCTGTCACATCTAACAGATCACACCACTGGCACGGGTTTGATGGATTAAGGATGTGATGGTCATAGTCGCGGCCTGAAATTTAAAATAAGATTTATTACTGTCAAAATATTTAGTATTATTCATAAAGGACTTAGCGTTTCAGAGCTATTCCGATCATGTTTTATACCGTCTACAACGCCGTCGTCACAGCCGTAATCGCCTTAAACATTATCAATATCTCGGGCATAGATTGGATAGTTATGAATAAATTATAGTTGTTGTGGAAAAGATCTTAGTTGTGGGGATGTAACATTTCATTGCCTTGACTTCGTATGGGAAATTGATGTTGCTTGGCTAAGCAAAGCAAGTAATCTAAAGAAGATTGTGGATGAAAAGAATATAAATAAAAATTAGAAATGAAGCAACGATTCACCATTATGCACGTAGGAGTATGTTGGATGTACTGAAAGAATGAAAAGTAAAGGATTGTCTCGAATGTTTGTGCTTTTTATTCTATGACTAAGAAAACTTTTGGATTTAGCGTTTGCGACTTTCCACACTATCAGCATTGCGTCTGGACACCGTTTTCATGACCTTAAAAAGCCTGGTAAAAAAGAAAATTCTGAGCACGATCAGTTTTTCAACGGGAGAAGAGAAGATTCCATTTTTTGAAAGACTGGTGCTCTGAACACAAGGCCAAGCTGTTTCTTTTTCGTCTTTTGAACTTCTTTACGTTCTTATGGTAAAAACAAAAAGCACTCACCGTTGATTTTACATTTGCATTTGCCGTTGGAAAATCCATACCCAGTTTTAAGACCACAACTGTTCCCATTACAGGTCTGACATATGGAGTTACAGGTGAGAGGTGTACCCTTACATTGGCCATTGCTACACTTGTCACTTCGAGTACATATGTTACCATCATCGCAAGCTGCCCCGTCATTGTCAGACCAAGTGCTTACGCTTTTACTGGTGTCACATTTCTGAAATCCAAGACGTTAAGTGAGTCTCTCCGAAGGAAGAAAAGAGTTCTCTGCGATCATATCAAGTTTGATACCTTTAATTAATAGATATACATAGTTAGGTCTTAGCACCAGCAACCCTAGAAAGTAGAACTTCTTACATCGTGGATGAGTCCAGGTTAAACTAGAATTTGCTTGGATTTTGTGGAAGGAACAAGAGGAAAAAACTTTGCTCTCGGAAAACTGTTCTCAGAGCAGATGTCCGCGGACAAATATACGTGCATATCTCTACGCCAGATGGAGGCTATTGTTTATTCAACATTACCTGACATGGACGCCCCGACCTTGAATTTCCATCACTAACACATGTTTTCGTCCCTTTTTCAAAGATTAAGCAGTATCCTGATTTCATTCGGCAGGCATCATTGTAACACTCTTCACAAGGCGACAAGCAGTTGAGTGGTGTACCAATGCATTTTCCAGCAGAGCAGCGATCATTTTTGGTACATGCATTGCCATCATCGCATGACAAGGCATTATCGTTTGTCCATGATGTATTTCTGGAGCTATCACATTTCTACAGGAAAATCATATTGAAATCAGTGATGTAATGTGTTAATTTAATATTTCTCAGTGGGTGTGTTAAAGATCTAGAGCATAGTTTTCACAAGTTTCCTTTGAACACACTGACAAGATGCAATCATAGGAGGTGCAATAGGACAAGAAAAAAATTAACTATTCATGTCCAAGATACGAACGAAACTGGGATTTTTCTGCATGGGCTGTAAAATCCATTTTTTCAGCGTTACACAGATGGTAAGTTGATAGAAAGGAACAAGTGACGTTAACTTTTTAATAGTTTCCTAAATTGAAGAAATTTGATGATCAATCTTTGGAAGTTCACTACAACGCACTAACTACACTATGCAAATCTATGTGAGGATCACAAATCTTTATCAATGGTTAAATGTCATTGAAATGTTTCCTAAGAAACATCGATTTATTGAGTAGTGAGATGGTTATTATTCTCACCTGACAGGGATTGCCTGGATTGATGTACTTAAAAGGATAACATTTGTTGTTTATTTTACACTGCTCCAAATTACATCTATTTCCTGATGGGGTATAACAAGGATTGCAGCTGCAGATGTAGTGCCCATTGTTCAAGTTGGTGCAAATGTGATCACATGGTTTCAGTTTCACGCAGACCTCTAAAGACGTGAAAGGAAATGGCGATGGAAGAAAGGTTAACTCATAAAACGTGACGAAGATAGCAGCTGTGATTACTAAACGCTATATTTCAAATTTCTAGTCTCGGATCCCCATAACTTTCTTCTCACTTTAAAATAAGAAAATTAATTCCTCAATTCATTTTTGTTTGTATTAAAAAAATTTAAATTTTCACCTGGTAAGCATTTGTGGTGCTCTTGCCGTCTACAATCCTGGTTGTAAGATCAGAATGCGTTGAACAAGTAATTGAGCAGTTCGTTTTGGGCCTTAAAGGATCTTTTACTGAATGGTCTTTAATGGCTACATCTGTCATCGAAACTATCATTTTTGCGAGAGTAAGAGGCGATGGGGCATACATAAACATCATTATTATGCCATATTAATCGTAATGAAACAAAACTTAGAGTTTTGTTCGTATTAGAGAAAGGTTTGTCTGCGCATAAAATGACTTCTTATATGAGTTTAGGGTAAATTTACTAGCTTTCCGTGACAATTGCTGTAATCTGATTCACCCCGCTCCGTCCTAGTTGATTCGGGTTTCGTCCACATCAGTTATCACGCGTTAGAAATTTCGAATTTATAATCTAACTGTAAAATATCCAATAAGGCTGTGTCAAATGCGCATATATCATTGGTAACCCTGAAGTGGAATAGCTCTCTGGCCAAGGATAGTAGCACTATCTATGTAAGCATGATTATTATTGTTACGTACGAGGTGGCCTCAGCTATAAGCCTAGTGGTTTCTAGAGGTCACCTCGCGATATACTAAACTCTCGATAAATTGTTAGTAAATTGGGGAAAAAATAGCAAATAAATAAATAAATAAGGTCATAGTAGTTTCTTTGCATCGAGTTAAATATTTCGCAAGTTAGGAGAGGGTCTAAATCTGCCTTCTATTATAGAAGTAATCGTTAAAAAAACCTTATGTCCTGATTTAAACGCTCTTGGAAATTAAAATAATAAATGAATAAACAGTAAAAAAAAAAAGTAAAAAAAATAAATGATAACAATGGTAATAATAATAGTAATCTAATAATGATAATAATAATATATTTTTTTCCTTTTAATAATCCTTTATTTGCCATAATCACTAAAAATTTACAAAAATCATGTTAAAAGGCTTAAAATGTCTGATAAAAATCATAATAATTCGGTTCTCTAGGATCAGACTCGTATCAGACCCAAACTAACTTTGATAACAAAAACGACCTACGTATAAAAATCGCGAAAGCAACTACTAGTTCGTATTGAAAGGATTTCAGAAAACGTGCATCGAAATTATCCATATAAAAGTAAATTACATGAAAAAATTATATGACAAGGGAAATATGACTCTCTTACTCTAAAAAAGTGTAAAAAAACAAATTTTAAAAATGTCTAGCCTATATTTGCCATAGCATTGTCAATTTAAAAATCTGTATCGAATGTCTCAAATGTTCTTCTCTTCTTTCTTGTACCTCTTGAGCATAAGAGGGCGCATCGCATAATAATAATAATAATAATAATAATAATAATAATAATAATATAATATTACCGAACCACTGAGCTTTTTTTTTCGCTCTCCCACGGATTACATTGTAACGACTGTAAAGTAACAACCAAATCAGTTGTTTGTACTCACCCGAGCATTTGTATGTGTTGCAGGATTTCGTTTCTCGAGATTGCCCAAAACAACTACCACCACCTCTGGGAGGTGGATTTGTGCAACTTCTTGTGCGGTCTTGGGTGCCACTATCACAGAGTTTGCTGCATTGACTCCATCGACCCCAAGGCGACCAACTTCCATTAACGACTTTTAAAAGGAAAAATGTATAAATAGATACATAACTAAATTACAAAGTAAATGTATGAGGGAGCTAGTATATCAACGAATAAGCGCAGTGTTTTCGGGATGTTGCTATTTTGATTTAGTTGTTGTTGTTGTTGTTGTTGTGGTTGTTTTTGTTCTTCCTTTCCTGGGCTATCGATGTTACTTTGGCAACACTTTTTCAAGTGGCCCTCCTCCCAAATAATAGGGGTATTTACTAACTTAATGCCTGATGCGCTGACAAAACGATTTCATGCCGGTGAATTGAAACGGTATTACTCGCTCGCCGATCGATCGCCAAAATGACGGAAAATACCATTATAAATTAAAGTTAAGCTGCCTGGAAAGCTCATTAGAAAAAATACAAAAAAACTTTAAATCGTTTTCTTTGAAGACGTAGTTTGAGGTAGAAATCAGCTTTGTTTGCGATTTGCGAGCGTCAGTCGGACGGAGAGGTAAACTGTCGGTCGTTCGGTAAAACCAAAGTAAAACTTCGGCGACCGGCTACTTTGTCATAAGAGTACACACTTAACTGGTATTTCGGATGTGGTGTTTCAAAACTGATTCTCGTTGCATCGTTTAGCTGCGGATATTGGAGGGAGGTAAAAGGCTCTTCAAAACTTAAAATAAAACATCTGTCAAGCCGCGTGCTGCTTTGATGGATGCTTCTCTTTACTCACGGTACGTTACCCTTTAAAGGAAACACTGTTTTCCGTTTTCTTGTTCGTTAACGGTTACGCTTACGGTTCTCGAATTGGACGTGTTTCCACGAGCGATTTTTCAAACAGTCAAAGTCTCGTGAAACGATTGTTATTATCATTGTTGTCGAGCATTGTGGCGCATTTTGTGGACTAAAATTAAAAATATCGCATTTTAGCCCACTGATACAAGCCAGTGGAAAGTGAGAGTAAACAATCCTCCGATGGAAGCAGCCAATTAAAATCAAGAAGCAATAGCAATGTTTTGCCCTCCGTTCTTTAGTCGTTTAAAGGAATGGAGGCAAGCGCGTTGTCTCACGTGGTCAAATATGACATAAAAATTGGATGAATTGAAAGGTTAATCTTTGAGTGTTTTTTTTTTCCCTTTTTTCAAGTGTTGTCAAAAACACCCACCGTTTGGGCACTTAATGATCGCTGAAAGACGCTGAAACAATTGAGAGGAACAATCAAATAAATACACACCAGTCGCTTCGCAAACGTGTCAGTTCGCCAACGAATAGTTCGCCAACCGTATGAGATTGATTTTCCAACGTCTAATATCAGTTCGCCAACGCTTATGTAAAAATTTTACTTTTGATGTATTCACGGGTGTTCGTAGGTTAGTCTCGTTTGAAATTGTTTTTTTCACTCTCCTCAATCTCTCCCTACACACAGCAACACAGCCCGTTAATCGATCGATGGCCGATCAAGTTTGAAAAAGAATTCGAAAAGCATCCGCGGCTTTTGCCAAGTAGAATATGAACCTCCTATTGACTCTAAGGATATTTCTTCGATTACGTCAACCTGTGGGTTATCAATGATTGCCCGTGTTTTTATTTTCTCGTCAGCCTTTTGACATCATAAGTCACTAAGTAATCAGGTAACTTTCCTCCAATAAGGAGCCACTTGGGGTTACAGATTTGATAAGGCTGTCAAATTTTAAAGCTAACACATATTCTGTTTTTTATGTTTCCCTCGGCTAGCAAAATCGCACAGTCAAAGTTATGTCTTATCTGTCCAACAGAAGCATTCCTCCTTCGAATTAACTTACAATTAAAATAAAAAAATAGATGTTTTAAAGCAATTTCGGTTGTCACCCGCTAAGCTACTTCAAAAATCGCTCGTGAAAACACAGCCACACCAGAGGATTTTTAAAAGCGATTAATAGATTGAAAATGAACAAAAGGTAAACGCTATTTATGTCTCCTACCTTTGGTATAGTGTTAATTTGTCACTAGGATAGTAAGTCAATGTGGAAAGACAGGGAGTATTGAAGGATCAAACTAAAGACAGGCTCATGCATGTAGCATCCGAAATTGACTGAGCAATAATCACAAGACTATCTGCTGACTTTTATATCAATGGAATGTTCGTTGCGCAAGAGTCACAAGTTATGATTGAAAATTATTAGGTCTTCAGCGATCAGTGTAACTCGTGGCATTTTTTGGGCGTTCGTCTTATTTGTCTTCATTTGCGTGGCTAAAATTTTTTCCCGACATAAACTCTTGTCCTGTTCTATCACCACAGTCCTATTGCAAACAAAGCTCACTTGTTGACCTAGAAATCGATCAAAATATCTTCATAAATATAATTTCACACTTTTATACTTTTCCAACCAGGTAATGAGACATTATCGTTTATTAGATTGAAATGTATCCATTTCTTATCTAACTTACATTTACATATGCGGGAAGGATTTTTTTTAGCCAACGCTTTGATAGTGATGTTATGTTTGGCTTCCAAAATAGTAAAGCTGGGATGAGCAAAATTTTTAGCCGCGCAATCCCAAGTTTAGTTTAAAGTGCCATTTGTCAATTACGGTAAAAAGTTAGAGAAAAATGTAACATTTACGGATCAATATTTCATGTTAAAGTGCAGGAAAGTGTTGGTACCGTTAAGTTCGTATGAACTGTATCGTGGTCAACTTGGCAAAGCTAGCAAGGACTCACCTTGGCTTCCCCAACCACCACCACCACCACCGCCTGAAGTAACAGGCCATCCAGTTGGGTATGCACCAACGTTTGCAGAGGAAAGTAACACGAGAAATAACCCGAGGAAGGTTGCTGGTTTCATCATGCCAGGAACATTGAAAATTCAGTGTCCTCTTTTACTGACCAACTGCTGGCTTATAATGGCTTAAGTGTTGCTTGTGACCCAATTAGAAAAGCAAAGTTAAGATGAAATCAGATCTCTTTAACTACTCTGCAAAAGCAGATTGGTGGCTTTATATTTTCGCAAATATTGAAGTGTCACTCTTAATCAAAGAAATGCTATTGGCTGTTTTTTTTTTTGGTTTGTTTGTTTGTTTCACATAGTAAATTCCAAAAAAGGTCAAATTCTGCGTAAAAGAAGCTGAAACAGCTATCTCTACATGTTTGACCATATGTAGAATTTAGGGGGACTTTGGCTCTAACCAGTCTGTTATTTTGTACCACGATACGCAAATGGACCAGTCAGAGTTGAGCGTAGGTGACACACCTCCAAACTTAAACTGTAACGCACAAACTACAGGCCTCGGTTGTTCGAAGGGTAGATAACACTAACCACTGGATAAATTCCCAACCGTTGGATAATAAAGTAAATTTTTTTATCATTTATCCGTAGTATAGCTATTTTTCTCTTGAATATTCATTTATCCATTTATCCATTTTTCAAGTGTCATACCGTCACTCATTAGACAAAAAAAATAACGCACACCTTTATTTTTCATAGGATGCCACACACCGCGGTTCCCTATTAGACTTCTTCCGCCGCCCATTAAATGAACGACTTAAATCTCCGAAGAAATTCGAACAAGGCTGCACTTATTTATTCCGTGCGAAATCAAAGTTAGAAATTTGTACGATTAATTCGGAACGAGGGAACTATGCAAAAGAAAAAGAATAGTCAACCCAAGAAGCAGTAATTAAAATGTCATGTTTTGTCAATGATTCCTACTGAGATATTTTTTAAAATGCAAACTTAATTAAGCTTTTATTAGTTTTGGTCATTTCCTGAGTGGCGCCATAAAATCAACAAGCTTGTCGTGTCGTGCAAGAAAATAGTATGGTTTTCTATTCTTTTCTGTAATCATATACCTGATAAAATTTGATGACCAAATAAGCATGTATTTCTCCCGGTTCTTATTGCCATTTCTTTTAACTCTGTGCCGTCGATGAAATGACTACATCTTGAGGCAACTCTATTAACTTTGCACACAGTAAACGTGTAAAATGTAACTGTCCTAAAACTTCCCGCTCTTTCTATGCGTTGTGCTCAGTTTTAAAACACCTTTTTATTGAATCGCCATGTCTTCCGGACCCTAATGTTTATCTTATCACGGTAAAATAATAGCCAGACTGCGCTTTAGCTAAGTAGTAATGCTCTGAGTAATTTGGTGCGAAATCAACTGAAAGTTACACATTTGCTCACGGCATGGCGAAATGTCGATGTTTCCGATGTTCAAATATGCAGCAGAGCTAGTTAATAAAAAAAAAGTGACTAAAACTTGAAGCTACCGGAATGGCGCTGAGCTAAGCGTGACGATAAGTTTTCGCGCACAAACTGAGCTCTCACGGAAAGAACAACAATAATGGGGGCAACTAGCAAACTAAACTAAAATCACTAAACTTTCCCATAACATAAACTAAGTTTTAAAGGTATGGGAAATTTGGTCCGAATTCAAATTTGCATACGTCATGGGAAAATTTTGATCTTACTGATGTTCAAATCAGTCGCAGACGCCTTAAAGCGATTCCGTGGGATGCGCAGTTACAGAAAACTATCATGACTAGTTGGTTAGATCAGCCGAAGACATCACTGTAGAAAATTTTACTGTTGACAAAACTGTGACCATGTTTGTATTTGGGAATAACGAGGAGTGGCAGCTCAAAAACCTTTGAACTTTTCTGAAAAAAACTGGAATTCGACCTACTGATCTCATGTTTCGCATCGCTTAATCCCTTCAGTAAAAAACAATTTCCTTTTTCGCCGACAACGACCTCTCCGATCTTTGAAGACGTTTATTCTCAACCGCAGTAATTTTGATGGAGCCGTAAATGGGCGAAAGCTCGGAAAACTAAACTTTCCAGAAACTTCTGGACAGTTTAGTAGTGACTCCGAAGCCCCCCCTTATCATCGGTAATATCGTTTTATTAATATGCCATGTCATATCAACGTGGGGGAGAATGAGCAGGAGACAACTGCGCTAATTAGTGTGTGAACAGGAGACAATCGCGTTAATCAGTGGGATCATGGCGTTCATTAGAATTCTTTGCACTACGAGATCCTTTTGTGCTATTTGCGATCGACCATTTTTGTATATATTAGTTATAGTTTAGTATTCTGTTCGTACTAAGTTTTCTTCACTCCTCGGAGAGTGTGGTTCGCTTAAGGTTTGGCCTGGAATCGAGTGAAATCGAAATAAATGTTTTTTTTTTTCTGGTGAACATTTAATGGTTATACTTGTACTCAATTAAAATAAGGGAAGGAAGGCCCTGTTTACAAGCAAGGAGGGTAACCCTTGTGCTAGGGTTACCCTAGCAGGCGGATCAAAGATAGCCCGGGTTTACAAGCAAAATTTCACAGGTAGGGTTACCCTACCACCAGGGACAACTTACCTATGCTTGGTAACCGCACGCATTGTTAGCAATGTTCAAAGGGTCTGGAAACAAGTAAAAAGTTGTCCCGGGTAGGCGAGTTATCCCCAGCAGAGCGTTTACAAGGCAGCTAGGGTTACCCTAGCCCTAGGGTAACCCTAGCGCTCAGCTAGGGTTACCCTAGTGCTAGGTAACCCTAGCTGCCTTGTAAACACGTCGATGAAAAAAAGAAGAAATGTGGGAGCGTTAGGGTAACCCTCCTGCCAGGGTAACCCTAGCACTAGGGTTACCCTACCTGCTTGTAAACAGGGCCTAAATGTACCAAAGCTTGCTGGGCTAAAATTTAATTAGCGTTTTGACAGAATCATTGATCCATCTACTGAGGGTAATTATTTAATTCTAAGTGAATTTTTCGTATTGTACCGAATTAAAAGAGCTTACAGCTCACTACTCCACTTTTAAAAGCAAAATTAACACCACGAAAATTGAAAGATTTGCGTTAAGATAGCTTTCTATTGGCA